CGTGGGCGATTTGATGTTAAATGTTTTAATCTTTTATCAATAAAGTCGCTTTGATCTGAATTTTTAAACTCTGATAAGCGTGAAGATACAAATGGCTGTAGCTCTTCCATGGTACGCTGTAATTTTGGAACATTGGCATAAAAGTTCAACAACTGCTTAAACGTTTCATCGTTGAAGCCCACGCACTTTCCCGTTGAGGAAACCTCTGAAAAAAGTGATAGAGCTGGGGATCCTCGACAGAAGTTAACTTTTGGGTTCACAACTTCATTATAACCATGCATTAGCAATGTATTTAATTGGTACTCATAAAAACTCCATTCCTGACCGTTCGTAATAATAGTTTGGGTATTTAAAGGATAGGTAAGGTCATTGTAAGTGTTAAAACCGTTATAACTAGCGTGGGCCAAGAGCAGAGAGTATGAAGCTTTTATCGCTAACGCATCGAGGGCTTCCTGTGTGTCATGTTTGCCATAAGAGTTTGGTCGATTTTGAAGGTGAGCTCGCGAGTGTATGGACAAAAATGGAAAACTCTGTTCATTTACGCAAGGCCAATGGCCGGGAATATTTGTGGCATGCTGATGTTTTGTGTTATAACCTAGACAACGCACATCGTATTTAAACCGCGGCAAGTTTTTGCTCAACCTTTCGTTATTACTCTCAGGGAGGGTTTTCCAAGATGCTAACTGTTTTTGATGACGCAGACACACATAAGGATGACCAGAATATTGTATTAGACGGTCGGAAGAATTTTTCGCCTCTTTCATTTGCCATTTGCATCCATTTTTTGAATTCACGACCTTTTTAGTTGATTGTACACCTCCTACTGTCCAGAAAGCTTCATGACGAGGATTGTAATCTATTTCGACTTCATTAAGTGTGGGTATTCTTGGCTCAAAACTTTCAAAAGGGCTCTATTCAATTGCTCAACAACTATTTGACTGAGATGCCGTTCACGGGCAACAAAATCAACTGAGGTACACATTGTTATCCTAGCTAAATGCCTGAAATAAGATTGAATTATTATAGGTAATACTTAAATGTGTTTCATTACCTGCAATAGTCGTAAGAAAATTCTACCGCTTCGATAGCTTCTTTACGTGCCGCAGTAAATATACGCTCAGAGTTTTTTTCCGTAAAACCTGTAATAGGCGTTTGAAACTTTTCCGTAACAGTGCGTGTATAATGTTGAGATACAGGCAAGGCGTTGTAAGGAGTTTTTGTGTCACTAAAATTTACTACCTTATACCCGTAGTATCGGGGCATATTAATTTTGAGTATTTTTTCCTCAACTGTCGGTACTTGGTAAATTTCTTTATGCCAATCTTCAGCATTATTCTGTTGTCGAGCCTTTAATGACACATTTTGTATTTCAGGATAATAAGGCCCCCGTCGAATAATCGACAAGCGTGCAACAGATGCGGTGGCATGGGCTCTTGGGCCAGCGGGTGCAGGAACCCAAGGTTGTTCTTCTGCAAGATGTGCGGCGCGACAGGAGTAAGAAGCACAGAATGCTGGCGGAGCAACAGGAAGGAGATCAGGGATCGCACGGTGCTGCCTCTCAAAACTAATAGGAGGACTATCCGGAGAAGAGCAGCAGTTGACGGCAACCATCGAGGTCGAGGGCACGGAGGTGAAGGCCATGTTGGAAACAGGAGCGACGGCGAGCTTTATCTCTAAGGAAATAGCATCGAGCCCGGAAATCACCAGGCAACACATCGCGATAAGGAGACGGGTAAAGTTAGCCAATGGAAGCCATACGGAGACACGCGCCGCATTGGAAAAAGGATGCATTGAGCCCTCGAATAGCGCATACAGTTCACCTATTGTAATGGTTAAGAAAAAGACGGGTCAATGGAGGATGTGCGTGGACTTCCGACAGATCAACGCCAAATCAATAAAGGATGCGTACCCGATGCCACGGATAAATTTCATTTTGGAGCAGCTGAGGGAGGCAAGATTCTTCAGCAGCCTCGACTTGAAGGACGGTATGTACCAATGGAAGGTGATGCCGTTCGGGTTGCACTCAGCCTCGGCAACGTTTCAAAGGGGCCTTGACCAGGTCATAGGGCCGGACATGGCTCCACACGCCTTCGCATATCAGGACGATAATATCGTGATCGGACGCACCAAGGAGCACATGGCGAACCTAAAAGAGGTGCTCAAAAGGTTGAAAGCAGCGAACCTGCGGATAAACACGGAAAAATGTCATTTTTTCAGGCAGGAACTGCTATACTTGGGATACCGAGTAACGAGCCAATGGATCGCCATAGATCCGGGGAAGGTCGCTGCAATTACAGAGCTACAACCCCCGACAAACGTCAAAGGAGTACGCCAGTTCATAGGAATGGCGTCATGGTATCGGCGATTCGTTCTAGATTTCGCAGGAATCGCGAAGCCCTTGAACGATCTGCTCCGAAAAGGAACAAAATGGTATTTAGTAAAAATACCAACTTAAACCTAAAAATTAAAAATGTTAAATAAGACAAAAAATCCATCGGTCAATATATAAATTATCAAAACTACAAACCACCTACAAAAATTTTCTAAAAATGTTTAAACGATTAATATATTATTATAAAGTACTATTGAATGAATTTAGTATTTAAGTGAACCGTCAAATCGGTCAAATCAATATGAATGAAAAATTCTTTGAATGCATATTTTGGGGAAAATTATATTATACATACATATATGTCTTGGAACAAACTGCTAGCACCCACAGCTAAAAAAAAACAATTGGACTCATTTTAGACAGGATGTTCGAACGCCCGTTGCCGAACGTGAAGAGCTTGACTTCGTGTTTTTTTTTGTAAGAGAAACATTTTTCCCGGACTTTTATCTTTGAAATTATTTTCTCTAAGTTGTTTTCCTGCTGTTCCCAAACTTCAAGCAATTTTACAGTTGGTTTTAAAGCGATGGGAGACTCATATTTTTCTTTTATTTGTTGTTACTGTAGAAGATCAACCAAAACAAAAACTTTGAAATCTCATTTCGCCTCTCGTCACGACAGTTTTTGTACGTTTTATCACTTACAATACAACATAAAGACTACTCATTTCATACAACAAAAAAAAACGCAAACACTTCTTGCATCAGGGAGCATCTTACTCTTTTTCTTACGCTCATCTAACGTGTTGGGGGTTTACCTGGAGTTATACATACATATATTCAAATCCTGATCGAACGACCAAAAAAACATGCAGGTTTTTAACTTTGTATTTTGTCTGTCTTTGTATTATTTCACATATACTTATAGACTTATTATTTGGTGTTACCATTCTTATTTTTTAATCAATCTTTTTGGAACTTAATTGTTACGTGTTTTTGAACACCGTCTTTTTCAGTTGTAATCTTTTTAAATTCAAATAATAAGAAATAGTTATATTAATATATTTATATATATTAAATATATGTATATATGTGCGAGCATGTGTGCGAGCGATTTCGTTTCGAAGCCAGCTCAAAATTTTGGATTTTCGTAACTTTTTAGGCCTAAGAAAATTGGCGTATGATGTATGGTTAGTGGTTATACACACCGTGCACTGTCACTTTTTTTAGGTGATAGCCCGGGGACTTAGTTTATAAGTTTAGCCCGGGGACGCAAAAATGGTTGACGAGTACACAGGTAACATTCACAAAAAAATAAATTAAATTTGAGGTGGGTGCTAAATAAAATGAACACGCGAAAACAATATTCTCCGGATATACTAGGTTTAAGCCTAACTTATCTACATATTTCTGAAAGGCGTGGATAGTTCGCACAAGAGCGAATATAAGCTTTCGCTTCCGCTCCGCTCTAAGTTAACTTATACTAGATTTCAATAACTAACAAATTCATATTAAAACCAATTAAAAATTCGAATTAACCGACAATAATAAACAAAATTTACTTATACGGCATATCCGCGGTATAATTGTATCATGTATCCGCCTACAACTTCGATACAAATATTTGGTGTAATGACAAAAAAGACAATGAATGCCAGAATAAGTTTTTCATATACAAAACATTCTTTAAGGGGAGGGTAAGGTCAAATCATGCGAAAAAAAGCCATGTTTTTGTGATTTTTTTCCTGACGGCACAGTTAAAATTTATGTATTCAACCAACGGTATATTAAAGTATGACATTAGAAGAATGTTTTATCAAATTTTTACAAAAAAATATTTAAAAATATGGCAATGGTAGCCATTGTCCGGACGTGTCGCCAAAAAAAGTTGAATTGCGGTGCCCCTCATAACTCGGTGCTGGATCATTTGTAATCAAAAAATGAAAGTTCATTCGTTAGATAATAGTTCGCCCCAGGTAACGCTGTGAAGGTTTTTTGAAAATTGCAATTTTTTATTTTTCGAAGACTTTGAAGTGAAAAACTCAATTTTTGGGAAAAAATCGGTTAATTTGTCATTGCAAAATCAAAATTATGAACAAAAAAAAAAACTCGACAGCGTTACCTCGTAAAATATGTACAGAAATAGTGTTTAAAATTTCAAAAGGATCGGTGCAGTAGTTTTGAAGTTATGAGGGGCACCGACTTTGAAAACGTAAGTTGTGGGAAAAACGCTTTAAAGTTTTAAACAAAAAAAATCCAGTGTAAAACGTTTGCAAGCAACTTCGTCAATAACTAATAACTTCGTCAATTTTGCTTTAATTGACTTGAAATTTTGACAATATTCTTCAAATATTATGCATTCAATTTAAAAATAAAAAAAATTTACAAAAAAAAATTTAATACCTTACCCTCCCCTTAAATGTCGCTTCGATAAAAACGGTTGCATTTTTCATAATAAAAATGTGTTTCTAATAAATTGTTTTTATATGATATTTTTATAAGGATCGGCCAACTATACCCGATGTTTGCGATCTATTTGCATCCAATTTTTCAACTCCAATTGTCGTTTCTGGAAATGCTCACATATATTAAACAATAAAAATGCATCTTTGCCGTTTAATTTTTCTAGTTTTATTTTTAAAAGTTTTAGAAATTTTAAACAAGTTCCTAAGTTTAAGGGTAAAACTTTATTTTATTTGGAGCTTCATTTTTCCCCCATTTCGGCGCAAAGGTTTCGGCACAAATTCTTCATCGTATTCATTAAGCCGTCGTCGCCAAGGATTAATATTCCGTTCGAAAAATCTACGTTTTGCTTCCATAGGTCGTGATTTGTTATCTATTTTATAGAGTTTCTCCCATAAGAAAATTTCCGGTAGCTCAAGATGTCGTGGGCGATTTGATGTTAAATGTTTTAATCTTTTATCAATAAAGTCGCTTTGATCTGAATTTTTAAACTCTGATAAGCGTGAAGATACAAATGGCTGTAGCTCTTCCATGGTACGCTGTAATTTTGGAACATTGGCATAAAAGTTCAACAACTGCTTAAACGTTTCATCGTTGAAGCCCACGCACTTTCCCGTTGAGGAAACCTCTGAAAAAAGTGATAGAGCTGGGGATCCTCGACAGAAGTTAACTTTTGGGTTCACAACTTCATTATAACCATGCATTAGCAATGTATTTAATTGGTACTCATAAAAACTCCATTCCTGACCGTTCGTAATAATAGTTTGGGTATTTAAAGGATAGGTAAGGTCATTGTAAGTGTTAAAACCGTTATAACTAGCGTGGGCCAAGAGCAGAGAGTATGAAGCTTTTATCGCTAACGCATCGAGGGCTTCCTGTGTGTCATGTTTGCCATAAGAGTTTGGTCGATTTTGAAGGTGAGCTCGCGAGTGTATGGACAAAAATGGAAAACTCTGTTCATTTACGCAAGGCCAATGGCCGGGAATATTTGTGGCATGCTGATGTTTTGTGTTATAACCTAGACAACGCACATCGTATTTAAACCGCGGCAAGTTTTTGCTCAACCTTTCGTTATTACTCTCAGGGAGGGTTTTCCAAGATGCTAACTGTTTTTGATGACGCAGACACACATAAGGATGACCAGAATATTGTATTAGACGGTCGGAAGAATTTTTCGCCTCTTTCATTTGCCATTTGCATCCATTTTTTGAATTCACGACGTTTTTAGTTGATTGTACACCTCCTACTGTCCAGAAAGCTTCATGACGAGGATTGTAATCTATTTCGACTTCACTTAAGTGTGGGTATTCTTGGCTCAAAACTTTCAAAAGGGCTCTATTCAATTGCTCAACAACTATTTGACTGAGATGCCGTTCACGGGCAACAAAATCAACTGAGGTACACATTGTTATCCTAGCTAAATGCCTGAAATAAGATTGAATTATTATAGGTAATACTTAAATGTGTTTCATTACCTGCAATAGTCGTAAGAAAATTCTACCGCTTCGATAGCTTCTTTACGTGCCGCAGTAAATATACGCTCAGAGTTTTTTTCCGTAAAACCTGTAATAGGCGTTTCAAACTTTTCCCTAACAGTGCGTGTATAATGTTGAGTTACAGGCAAGGCGTTGTAAGGAGTTTTTGTGTCACTAAAATTTACTACCTTATACCCGTAGTATCGGGGCATATTAATTTTGAGTATTTTTTCCTCAACTGTCGGTACTTGGTAAATTTCTTTATGCCAATCTTCAGCATTATTCTGTTGTCGAGCCTTTAATGACACATTTTGTATTTCAGGATAATAAGGCCCCCGTTTCGCGGGCCGTGGGTTAATTTCGCTACATTTTTGTGTGAGTTTTCGTACGCAAGCGAGCTTTATTAAATTAAATGGAAGTAGCTTCAACATCTAGACAGAAAAACTTCCCTGAAAATGTTCGAAGTGGTTACGAAATAATCGATTCGATAACCGACAGCTAAGATAACGTCGGGGTTTTTAAGCATAGTTTTACAGAGGAACAATGTGGTGGTAGCTTATTATTAGTAAATAGCCCATTATAGACTTCGCGCACTGAGTCCATCCTTGTAAAACAGTGGCCATTTTGGACAATTGTGAGGCAACGATTACCACTAAGAACAACCACCATTCCCAACATCCAATAAAATCTTATTTAAATTGCTTTGAGGAACGTGTCACACAAAAAATTGTATTGCGTCTTTATAGATGGCTGTTATGCGTTTTTTTATGAATAAATAATTTTCTTACTATTATTATGAATAATGGACAATACTGGACAGTAACAAAACTTTTTCTTACAAGAAAATATTTAAATAATTTGCTTTTGTCATATATCTTTAGTTATAAAACAAACTGAATTTTGAGAATCTCTTAAAAATTGCAATGGATCTTTTTGTAACTTTTCAGGGCTTTTTCAGATATTTTTTGCGAGAACAGTTTTTCGGCCCCGTCTATGTCCTTCACTTTTTCCGTTTTTTGCAGTGCGCAAGTCATGGGAGTGAGCGAGAGGCAATAGATGAAAAATAGTTTCTGACGGGGGCTGTTCGCTCTGGTCTAAGAGCGAAAACGATTAACGATCTAATTATATTGTAGAAATTTTCTCGTCATTTAAGATTTGTAAGAAAAACAATATTTCGATGCTAATTTCATGGCCGGATATTGCATCAATTTAAAAATAAAAATCATTTATAGCTATTGTGCTACGATCCAACCAACTTTGGGTGCTACTGTCCGCTGATCGGCATCGGCCTGGCTCCGGCTAGCTCATCCAGGACCGTGGCTCAGAGAGCTTGACCCTTACCACTAGACCGCTAACAATAATTTTGTCTAATTCACACTTATTACAATAATATAGCGCTACAACTTTCAAATTTAAATCTCCTACCTCTAAAAAAAATGAACGCTTATCCTTACTCTATTACATAACACACTTTTTTTTTATAATACTCCAGTTGACATGGATCTTTGTAGCCCATCCTTAGCGGAACGCTGGCCTTTTTGCGCGTCCGCTCCTACTTCCAAACACATCTATCCTCCTCTAACTTCTTATGACCCCCTTGACTTACTACTCGTTACTCATTTATTTGATGTTTAGTTAAATATAAATTTAACAAATGTACTCTTACTTCTAAGACTTCGTTCCGGAGCTTAGGCGTTTGTAAACAAATCCGTAAATTGGGTCATATTCTTCCCTACCTACGAGAGCTCTCCTCAGAAATTAGGTACAGACAACGAATATAGAGAAATTATTGTTAAACCTATCTTGCAGCTTCCATAGCCGCTTCTGAAATCACAATTTTTTTATGATTTTGTCAAATTTTCTTCAATGGATAATTACTTAAACTAAAAAAATTGAATAACTAAATACGAGACCAAAATTAAATATAATAACTAAAAAATAGAACAACGATGTAACCAACAAAAACCAATAAAAATAAAAAAATAAATCATTACACAATAAATTAAATAAAATTTTTTTTAAATATTTCTCAATTGAGAAATCCACCAAGGGTGGGATATTGCTTCCTTTTTAATATTATTTTTTATGGCTCTTTAGTGGTGTCTACGTCCAAGAGTACGGGTCTTATCTATTTCTCTGCAAATGTCAGCTTGACAGGCTTAGGGTTTATCTTATCCATGGCTAGAAATCCATAAGCCATGGTTCTTCTTCCTGGACCGACCTTTTACCTGTAGAATTCGCCGATCCTGCTTAGCGTGTCCATATCCTGGTCTTCTTTGCTCTTCTATCTTTAATTTTTAAAGTTTTTTCCCTTCTGCATTTTATTCCTTACGGGGAATGCGCTTTGAATGTAATTTTTCTAAGACTATGCTCCCGCACTACTTGATTCTCGCTTTAAGTTTATCATTTTCCTCGGTGTCCCGGAACGGTTATTCGGATAGGCCCGTTGTTCTGGGTCAAGAACCCACCAAATCCAAAATTTGGAACTAGGTGGCATCACTGGGGCCTTCCATCTCCATCAGGTGGCATCACCATGCCCAATTATTTGTATCGACCAAAACACATTAAGCATAGTACTGAGTTGACGAACGGAGCTTAGGCGTTTGTAAACAAATCCGTAAATTGGGTCATATTCTTCCCTACCTACGAGAGCTCTCCTCAGAAATTAGGTACAGACAACGAATATAGAGAAATTATTGTTAAACCTATCTTGCAGCTTCCATAGCCGCTTCTGAAATCACAATTTTTTTATGATTTTGTCAAATTTTCTTCAATGGATAATTACTTAAACTAAAAAAATTGAATAACTAAATACGAGACCAAAATTAAATATAATAAATAAAAAATAGAACAACGATGTAACCAACAAAAACCAATAAAAATAAAAAAATAAATCATTACACAATAAATTAAATAAAATTTTTTTTAAATATTTCTCAATTGAGAAATCCACCAAGGGTGGGATATTGCTTCCTTTTTAATATTATTTTTTTATGGCTCTTTAGTGGTGTCTACGTCCAAGAGTACGGGTCTTATCTATTTCTCTGCAAATGTCAGCTTGACAGGCTTAGGGTTTATCTTATCCATGGCTAGAAATCCATAAGCCATGGTTCTTCTTCCTGGACCGACCTTTTACCTGTAGAATTCGCCGATCCTGCTTAGCGTGTCCATATCCTGGTCTTCTTTGCTCTTCTATCTTTAATTTTTAAAGTTTTTTCCCTTCTGCATTTTATTCCTTACGGGGAATGCGCTTTGAATGTAATTTTTCTAAGACTATGCTCCCGCACTACTTGATTCTCGCTTTAAGTTTATCATTTTCCTCGGTGTCCCGGAACGGTTATTCGGATAGGCCCGTTGTTCTGGGTCAAGAACCCACCAAATCCAAAATTTGGAACTAGGTGGCATCACTGGGGCCTTCCATCTCCATCAGGTGGCATCACCATGCCCAATTATTTGTATCGACCAAAACACATTAAGCATAGTACTGAGTTGACGAAAATCCGCTGTTGAAATTCTGATAGCGATTTTGCACTTTATTCAGCTACACTTTACACCAGAGGTCGGCTCGGCCCTATCTCGGGGGCATAGGAAATTTCTCTGCCCGAGCTCTGCCACACACACACAGTATAAATGTGTGAAACGTCTTGCTCAAAGCCTACTTTCTGCTATTCGTTACTAACACTAATGCGGTAAAATTATATTAATGTATTGGGGTGGCGACCACTGCTTCACACTTACACTACCTCGTGTGAGCAAAAAAATGAAGAAATAAGGTAATACTGAACAGTTGTAGTTTGTAAACAAAAAACCAATAATCAAAATGAATTCAAATCAATTGGATGTTGGTGTTTTGTTGATGTATCTCGCCGCTAAGGAGCTGATTAGGAAAAAGAAAACTGGGTCAAAATCAATCACAAATCATTTCAATGCCATTTTATGGAATTAAAATGCCCCTTGTGGGTCAAATCCCATATTATGGGCTTCGCCTTGACCGCAGAAATTAATTTTAATTTGTCCTGGCGCGTCGAAAATTTTTCGGGCCGACTATTTTTTTGTTTGATCAATTGACCCTCCATGTCACACCTATAGAAATAAATGAAAATATTTCTTTTAACTCCCCGAGAGCAGCTGTTTATTTTTTTTGATCCGGCAACACGATTAAAATCGATAACAAAAATTTTTGTTAACTCAGTACCCGCAAAATCTAGAAGGCAAAAATTTCTTCCTCTTCCTTTCCTCTTTTTTTTATATGGAGTTTGACAGCTGTCACTCGTTGGACAGCGGATTTTCGTCAACTCAGTACTATGCTTTAGAAACAAAGTTAATGTATATCATTTGGGGCAAAACGCACTTATGTTTAAAATTTGAGCGTATGCGTAGCAGTGCTGCCAACTCTGAGTGGTCTTTTATAGCAGTAAAGACAATAAAAATAACCAAAAATAGGTAAATTTTTTCAAAAATAGTAAATTAAAATAGCCGTTAGTTTTTAATAACATAATGTCATTTTTTTCTACATTCTGTGTAAATTATTTAATGATTATTCTTCGTTAAGCAAACTGGTTAAAATACTTTCCTATTGTACCAATCTGTGAAAGGCTCTTATGTGGGGCTTCGTACTGAAAACAGAATTTTTCAGCTCGTTGCAATCCATATCTGAAAAAAAATTGATGAATTTTTAACTGACTTTCTTTAAAGATTTGCGTGCACAAATTAAGGTGGTCAACCGAAGTATTTTGACTCACAAACAAGCAGATTGCAGCTTCTGTTGAGGATGTCTCTGTAGATGTTTTGGGAAACTCTATTGTTTGGTTGCCTTGCCGTACTTCAAGGTTTGCCTTGTGTTTTTTAGTTTTAATGTGCGATTTCAAGTCCCACAACTTTTCATTTAAGTTTTAATATTTGCAAAATGCACAAACTAATCATTGAACTAATCATGCAAAACTGAATTTGAATGTAGAGATGGTAGCATTGCGAGCGCGAAACGATGTTGAGAAAATACCAAGTATCCAAAAGCTACATAGCGGTAAATAATATTTTAGTATTTAAATTTCACAATTCGGTCACCTAGTAGACAACATGTTTTTTAATTTAACTTATCTATGCGTACTTGCTTTTGTGCCTTTCAAATTCAATTGTTCCTTCTCAATGGCGGAATTTTTGTTATAGCCTATTACTCAAATTGACAAAAACTGTTTTTCAGTTATGGGAGTCAGCCAAAAACAAACAGGCTAAAAACCGTTTTTAACGGGGTCTGTTCACCACCAAGTACTGAGATCGGAAAAATACCATAAATTTACATGGGGATACCAGCCCGCACCGAAGAATGTTTTACAGGTCCTTAGCGAAAGATGACAAGTCTTAAGGGGAGGGTAAGGTCAAATCATGCGAAAAAAGCCATGTTTTTGTGATTTTTTTCCTGACGACACAGTTAAAATTTATTTATTCAACCAACGGTATATTAAAGTATGACATTAGAAGAATGTTTTATCAAATTTTTACAAAAAAATATTTAAAAATATGGCAATGGTAGCCATTGTCCGGACGTGTCGCCAAAAAAAGTTGAATTGCGGTGCCCCTCATAACTCGGTGCTGGATCATTTGTAATCAAAAAATGAAAGTTCATTCGTTAGATAATAGTTCGCCCCAGGTAACGCTGTGAAGGTTTTTTGAAAATTGCAATTTTTTAATTTTTTCGAAAACTTTGAAGTGAAAAACTCAATTTTTTGGGAAAAAATCGGTTAATTTGTCGTTGCAAAATCGAAATTATGAACAAAAAAAAACTCGACAACGTTACCTCGTAAAATATGTACAGAAATAGTGTTTAAAATTTCAAAAGGATTGGGGCAGTAGTTTTGAAGTTATGAGGGGCACCGACTTTGAAAACGTGAGTTGTGGGAAAAACGCTTTAAAGTTTTAAACAAAAAAAATCCAGTGTAAAACGTTTGCAAGCAACTTCGTCAATAACTAATAACTTCGTCAATTTTGCTTTAATTGACTTGAAATTTTGACACAATATTCTTCAAATATTATGCATTCAATTAAAAAAAAAAAATGAAAAAAAAAATTTAATACCTTACCCTCCCCTTAATCTTCCATGTTTCACAGGGCCTTGCAATAAATTGTTGGTCCTTTTTGTTATTCTAATAATGTAGAAAAATGGTGTTAATGCTAAAGTAGAGTTAATGGTTCGAAGTGCTAGAAATCATCTAATATCGAAGTAGAATATTTTATTCTAAAAATTTTGTATTTGTGGAGCAAAAAAGATTTTATTGCCAATTTTCGCCAATTTTCTTACGCCCAAACACATAAAGGGCGGAAATGATTCGCCTATTTTGCCTATTTTTTAATGCAAATTAAAAGTATTTTCCCGTAGAACCGTGGTACGTAAATTGAAAAAGTTCGTTCACATTTAAACGAATATATGTACCTACGTTTTTGCTCATCGAAGATGGTTTTCGATATGCGTACTAGGCTATTATGAAAAAATAAAACAAAAGAAAGTCTTGCAAGTCAGACCTTGACGAAAGGTTCACAAAATTTAAAACTTATAATCTTTCGAGAATCTCTGGTATTTTTTTGTCGATCTGAGAACTTGGTGACGTACAGACCCTGCCAATTTTTTTCTTCTTTCTCACTCTCATTGCTGAAAAGAAAATATTTTCGATTTGACTCTAGGATTTAACAAAAAGTGGTTGATGTATTTTCATCTCGCTCTCACTCATAGCAAGTCTTCTTGTTGATTTAAATACTAGGCTTAAACCTGTTAGTTCAATCGGAGCTACCTGTTGATTTTCATGGGCTGTTATTTACATTTAACGTATAAAGTGAATTCAATGTGTAATACAAAAAGTACTGTTTATTTTTATGTTTAACAAAGAAATTAAACTACGAACTCATTACTATTAAATTTGAAAGTCTCAGCAACTGAAAGTACTCGATAAGTATGTTTTTTCTATTGAGATTATTTGCTTAATGTTTAAAATATACTATTATTTTTTTTGATACATTTTTATTTACGTAAGTATGAATTCACTAGTTAAAAATTTCTGCAATTCTTTAAGTTTCAAACTTAGGTTTATGTTTTACCGGTTGTACAAAAATGTAAGTGTAGTTCCCTAGGAGTTTTATAGTTGGCATATATATGTACATGGAATTTATTTTCTATACACTTATGCAAAAGCCATTATTATTGAATTATTTTTTTTTAACTGCGCCTTCGAATGCGATGTTCTTGAAAGAAATTTTTTATTGAATAGAACGTGCATACAGACTACTTGGCTACCCATAAATGTAGCTACACATATGTATGTTCATCCACTCGGTAGTGTACATACACACATATTTATTTACGCAATTCCATACATATGTTCATACATACATACATATGTAAGTATATAGACCCTTTCTTTCAGACCCTTTAGAACCAGTGTTTAGGAACTTCCTAGTAACCGTTGACAAATCATTGAGAAATTTTTGTAAGTATGGGGTGTCCTATGCATCAGTAACCTCTAAAGTTTTTTCTCTCAACGGAGTAGGGAATTAAGGGGGGACATCTGAGTAGAATTTTGAAAAAATTTTTCAGGGTCTTAAAAATGACATATCAAAAGATAGGGTCCGGCAAAAATGTCTAAGTGTCGAAATTTTCCATTCTGCGGCACAGGTGTATCCCATAGTACTTAAAACTTTAAACGCGTTTTTCTCGAAACCGATTTTTTGAGTTGGCCGAACACATAACTCGAACAAATCTTAACCTATCGATCTAAATTTTGATTTTGACAGTATACTCAGAATACTGTATGTCTATCGACACACGTAGGATTTTTTTTTTATTTTGCTTACTTTTTATCAACAATTTTGTGACGTTTTTTGTTCGTGAAAATGGAAAATTTTGTTCCATCACTCACTATTTTGCAAAAAATCAATATATCGAAAAAATCCTACGTGTGTCGATAGCCGTTGAGATACAGAAACTAACCAAACTTGATTTTTTGTTCTAGATCAAAAATTAAGGACGTTAGGTGTTCGGCCATGGACCCCTTTTAAAAAAATAGGGCCTACGAATAAGGGGCCGCCATTTTGGGGGCTGCAGGGCCGCCATTTTGTTTTCGATTTATTAAAAAAAAATTTTATTGTGTAGTTTAAATATAATATAATAAAACCTCACTTACAAATTTTCGATTAGCTGTTTTGATTTGGACAAAAAAAAGTATAGCACAAAACCGAGTTTGAAATATTTAATACCCTCAAAATCTTGATTTATTTAGAAAACCCGTTTTTCAAGACATTTTTGCGCTTAAAAATTCCTAAACGCGTAATTTTAAGCCGATTTTAAAATTTCCAACGTTTGTGTTTCCGTTTGTGTGTTAAAATTTCCCACGTCCAATGTTGTAGCTTTTGAAATCTTCCTTTAGTGTTAGGTTAGGACCTTGTTTCTCCTCATTTCAGGCATTTTTTATTGAAAAATGTGCTTGTTTTGAAAAAGAAATGGTTTTTCAACAAGATGGGGATCCAAAGCACACTTCGAAAATTGTTAAGGAATGGATTGGAAGGAAACCATTTAAATTAATGGGATGCCCAGCACAATGTCCCGACCTCAATCCAATTGAAAATCTTTGGTCAATCATGAAAAGACGGCTCGGGCAGTACGAAACAGCTCCATCAAACAGGGAAAAATTATGGGAGCGTGTTGTAGCTGAATGGATACGTATTGCCAAAGATATAATAGAAATTTGTAGAGAGCATGCCTGAAGTCGTACAGGAAGTCATCTCAAATAAATTTCTTTGGACAAAATATTAATATTTTTTTGGAAATTAAAACTTTTTGTAACGTGCAAAATTTAGTTTATGTGGGATTTGTTTGTTTTTAATTTATATCTCCTTGAATTCTTCTGTATCATCATTGTCAAAACAATTTTTGGATTTGGTTGTGTGATTATGTTATTATGGGTGACGAATGTCTGAGTCGTGAACATACACTAAATTTTGCTCACCACACTCAATATTCGACCTGATAAACAATTCCTACTGTCACTATTTCCGCCGTCATAAATTTTATATTTGAATTATAGTTTATATTTGAATAATGAAAACATTAGAATTAGTGTTGAATAATGTTTGGAATTTGTTTTAAAAAATGCTAGATGTTAAGCTATTCTATATTTGTAAAATGGCGGAAAAACGAGGAGTCTGTCATCGCTAGGTGAAGCAAGCGAGGGGTGGGAAACGGACGAAGTTTTTTAGCGCGCGCCACACAGCATTGATTTGAGTAAGAATAAAGGAAAAACAAGAAAGGAAAGCTAACTTCGGACGGAGCCGAAGTTTATATACACTTGCAGTTAAACCCGGATATATATCGCAAACATCGGATATAGTTGGCCGATCCTTATGATTATGATTTATCATAATAAAACCAATTAATTACAATAAAAAATCTAAAAAAAGTCCCAAACTTCTATCTTCAAAAATACGAAAGTTGATGTTTCTACCAAATACCATTTCCGATCGTTCAGTTATATGGCAGCTATAGGATATAGTCGGCCGATCCTAATGAAATTTCGTAGGTCAGATTAACTGACCAAAAATATAATCTGTACCAAATTCCAGCTTTCTATCTTCAAAAACACGAAAGTTGGGTTATTTCCGATCGTTCAGTTATATGGCAGCTATAAGATATAGGCGGCCGATCCTTATGAAATTTGGCATGACGTAATGTTTTGCCAAAAATAGCTCTCATGTCAAATTTGAACTCTCTAACTCTAAAAACACAAAAATTATACCATTTCCGATCAATCAGTTATATGGCAGCTATAGGATATAGTCGGCCGATCCGGGCCGTTCCGACTTATAAACTGCGTGCAAAGGAAAGAAGGGTGTGTGCAAAGTTTCAAGACGATAGCTTTAAAACTGAGAGACTAGTTCGCGTAGAAACAGACAGACGGTCAGACAGACGGACAGACGGACAGACGGACATGCTCATATCAACTCAGGAGGTGATCCTGATCAAGAATATATATACTTTATAGGGTCGGAGATGTCTCCTTCACTGCGTTGCACACTTTTGGACCAAATTATAATACCCTCTGCAAGGGTATAATAAACCAAACCCAACCAATGTTGGCTTAAAAAAATCGTGTAGCAAACTCGCCCCGATCACAAAATTACTAAAACAAATTCCTCCAAAAACTTCGTTACCAGAGGATTAAGGGGGAGAAACAGCGTCGCGTCGCAGGCGGAAAACAGCTAGACGACTGGAGGCGAAAAATGTCTAAAAAAACTAAGGCATCGCGTCCCTAGCAGCCAGATCTATGTTAAGTGGAGCACCTCATTTTTGAGGAAAACCAGAACTCCTGTCGACCTGGGCAGAGGAAAAGACTCTTGCGGATAAAGGCAGAGGTGAGGCGTCGCGTCCCTAGCAGCCACAGGATAGCAGACACAGCAGCCACAAAAACGAGAAAGCGTCGGAAAATTGGATACAGTGTGACGTTTGCGAAAGGTGGTATCATTTCGAGTGTGCAGGCGTAGACGACATTGAGAGCAAGGATTGAAGTTGCGATTGCTGTCTTGCGGGTTGCAGCCACATAGAACCATACAGCCTCAAACACGAAAAGACGCAATGGCTACCCTTGAACCGCACGGCAAAGCGATAGCCATCGATACGCTAATCAGTATAGCCGGCAACGGAGAGAACATGTGCGGGAAGGCAATCCGGACATGAACAAGAACCATCTATTGTTAAAGATTGAGAAAAGACCATCTCATGCAGATGAACCCCGCTGACGTAGCGGTTGCTGGGATGTTTCGAGCCACAGATTCACCTACGATTTTTGTGGTATGACAAAGGCAGCGACAAATAGATTAGCTGCGCGCCGTTTATAGTGTACATTGTTCGAGACAAGATCGCGGAAACCCACCAAGAAGATTTCCCATTGGCCTTAAACGCCATCCAAAGGGTGCACTACGTTGACGACTTCATCGATAGCATGAGGAACGAACATAAGGCCATCCAGATCACCAGACAAGTAATAGAAGTACATCACAGAGGCGGATTCGAGATCCGTATTTGGTCGTCGAATTCGGAAGATGTACTTAAAAGCTTGCAGGATAATGGCAACGTTGGAAGCCAAAAGCCCGTGGATTTTTATTCAACAGAAAAGATACTTGATATGTCCTGGGACCCACATAATGATATGTTCAAGTTTATCGTCAGATTTTTAAAGCTGACGCGTGAAGTGCTTGCGGAAAACGCAGTCCCTACCAAGCGAGAAGTACTACAAGTTCTGATGTCGATTTTCGATCCATTGGGATTTTTATCATGCCAGACGATTGGGCTAAAAATACACCTTCAGCACATATGGTGGCAAAATTTTGAATGGGATCAAGAGCTACCTGAAAGAATGCTAGAAGAATGGCGCCAATGGAAAACCATTTTGCAAGAGATAGGGACTATCGAGGTCCCTAGATGCTTTGCCCCAGCCACCTCGGAGCCAGGTCAAGTTGGACTCCACACATTTTTCGACGCCTGCGAGCAAGCGTATTCTGCAGTCTGCTACTTGCGTGGGGCAACGGATGACAAAGTCGTCATGTCGTTGGTTATACCGAAATCCAAGAGAGCACCTTTAAAACCACTATCGATTCCGCGTATAGAGCTGCAAGCAGCAGTTATGGGAGCACGTTTAGACCACATGGTGATGAGCACACGCAACCTACGAATCGACAAAGCCACATACTGGTCGGACTCCAAGACAGTGTTGCAGTGGTTAACTATGGACCCCCGCAACTTTCATCAGTTCGTGATGTACAGAGTCGCCGAAATTCTGGAAACAACACTGGTCAAGCAATGGCGGTGGATTTCTTCAAAGCTGAACGTAGCAGATGGCGCTACCAAGGTCACCGGGCAAACCCAGCAAGAGACGTGGATAACGGGCCCGGAGTTCCTGAAGACCGATGCAAGCAACTGGCCAACATCCAAAAAGCAGGAGAGCATCATGGGTACTTCGTAGATACGGAAGCATGTGATGACGACGCATACGAGATCAGTGGTTACGTTTAACGCGCACGATTTCTCCAATTGGCGGCGATTATACGGCGAGTAGCGCTAGTACTCCTGTTCATTGATCGGCTGCAATCGAAATGGCTCATGTAAGCAAGGCAAAGATGCTGCTAAACAACCAATCTGAAGCCATCGCCTTCGCAGAAAAACTAAAATCGTTATCCGCGAGACCGGTGCTCCTCAAGGGAAGCAGATTGGCCGGATTAAACGCATACCTGGACAACAATGGAGTACTGCCAACCTCATAGTTAGAAGCTTCCACGAAAAGTATCACCATGTCGCTCATGAGACTGTAATAAACGGCATCCAAAATTCGTTTTATATCAGCCGGCTACGAGTACTGAATAAATTTGAACTTAACACATGCCAACGATGCAAGATTAATAGAGCAGTTCCCAGACCACCCCATATGGCACCGATCCCGAGGGCAAGAGTTGGAAACTTCGAGAGGCCGTTCACCTATACAGGCGTTGACTGTTTTGGCCCGTTATTGGTGAACGGCCTGCGCAAATAGAAAGGTAGGTGGCTTTGTTCGCCTGTCAGACGCACATGGGTGGAGCATGGGAGAGACTCGTCCGGAGAACTAAAGGAATCTTGAAGAACATATGCTCAAGTTGCTCTTGCAACGACGAGGGGCTGACATACGCATTGATGGAAGTACAATTTATTATCAACTCGCGATCTCTCACGTTCGTAAGTTTGGATTCCGAGGATGACGCCGACCTGACTCCAAACCACCTGCTGCTAGGATCAGCGAGCGAATATAAGCCGCTGCCCATAGAGGGGATGAATCTATGCGCTCGTATTAACCAGGCGCACCAAATGGCTTGAGAAGGTACCAATCACCATCGAAAGCACCTCGTAGTCGTAGATGAGCTTATCCATAGGAACCTGTGGTTAAAAGGACGCGTAACTGATTACGTAGAGCTCATCTACGACAACGACGTGCTCATGGATGGCCAAGGATGGACAAGTTCGACGCGTGACCATCAAGACGCAGCATGGCGTTATGGAAAGACCAGCAACAAAGGTAGCAGTTCTGGACGTCGGCTTGGAGAATGGTAACTGACCACGTATCGGGATTAATTACGGGGAGGGAATGTTACCGCCGTCATAGATTTAAGTTTATATTTGAATAATGAAAACGTTGAAATTAGGGTTGAATAATGTTTAAAGCTAGTTTTGAAAAATGCTAGATGTTAAGCTATTCGATATTTGTCAAATGGCGGAATATCGCTAGGTTAAGCTAGCTACGTGAGGGAAACGGACGAAGTTTTTTAGCGCGCGCCACACATCATTGATTTGAGTAAGAATAAAGGAATCGTGTAGCAACCTCGCCCCGATCCCAACATTCACTTTAAAAGTTCCTCAAAATATTTTTTTGGTCGCACTATGTTATTGAAAGCTGTAATGAGATGACATTAGGAGCAGTAAAATGTTGAGAGTAAATAAAAACAAGAAGGAAAGCTTACTTCGGGCGGAGCCGAAGTTGATATACCCTTGCAGTTAAAACCGGATATATATCGCAAAAATCGGATATAGTTGGCCGATCCTTATGAGAATATCATAATATAATCAATTCATTACAAAACAAAATCTAAAGAAAGTCCCAAGCTTCTATCTTCAAAAACACCAAACTGTTTTTACCAAATACCATTTCCGATCGTTCAGTTATATGGCAGCTATAAGATATAGTCGGCCGATCCTAATGAAATTTGTCGGGTCGGATTAACTGACCAAAAATAGAATCTGTACAAAGTTCCAAGTTTATATCTTTCAAAATACGAAAGTTGGGTCATTTCCGATTGTTCAGCTATGTGGCAGCTATAGGATTTAGTCGACCGATCCTTATAAAATTTGGGATGTCGTATTATTTTGCCAAAAATCGCATTTTAACCAATCTTACCATCTCAATTCTCTAGCTATAAAAACACCAAAGTAATAGCCTTACGATCAATCAGTTATATGGCAGCTATAGGATTTAGTGGACCGATCTCGTTCCGACTTATATACTGCGTGCAAAGGAAAGAGGGGTGTGTGCAAAGTTTCAAGTCGATAGCTTTAAAACTGAGAGACTAGTTTTAGTAGAAACAGACAGACGGACAGACGAACAGACGAACGGACGGACAGACGGACATACTTATATCTACTCAGGAGGTGATCCTTATCAAAAATATATATACTTTATAGGGTCGGAGATGTCTCCTTCACTGCGTTGCACACTTTTGGACAAAATTATAATATCCTCTGCAAGGGTATAACAAGAAAGGAAAGCTAACTACGGGTGGATTTGAAGTTGATGTACCATTGCAATTTAAACCGGATATATATCGCAAAAATCGGATTTAGTACATACATTATGGAAAAGGTTGGTTAAATATACAGTGAGACAATGAAATGAAATCCGGACAGGCAGAAAATACTACATTTTTAGTTTTTTCTCAGCCAGCGTTTCCTTTATGGAATAAATCTGTTTTAAATCGATGAAATTAATATAAATGTTAATTCAAAACGTGTTCTTTTAAATTTCATTTCTTTTATTTGAAAATAAAACGAATACTTCAATATTCGATGGAATTAATAAAAATGTAGGCAAACAAAAAAAATGTTTTTTGTAACTATTCCAAAGTAACAAAAATTAATATTAAGTAACAAAATATGTCACTATTACCGCCGTCATAAATTTTATATTTGAATTATAGTTTATATTTGAATAATGAAAACATTAGAATTAGTGTTGAATAATGTTTGGAATTTGTTTTAAAAAATGCTAGATGTTAAGCTATTCTATATTTGTAAAATGGCGGAAAAACGAGGAGTCTGTCATCGCTAGGTGAAGCAAGCGAGGGGTGGGAAACGGACGAAGTTTTTTAGCGCGCGCCACACAGCATTGATTTGAGTAAGAATAAAGGAAAAATAAACCAAACCCAACCAATGTTGGCTTAAAAAAATCGTGTAGCAAACTCGCCCCGATCACAAAATTACTAAAACAAATTCCTCCAAAAACTTCGTTACCAGAGGATTAAGGGGGAGAAACAGCGTCGCGTCGCAGGCGGAAAACAGCTAGACGACTGGAGGCGAAAAATGTCTAAAAAAAACTAAGGCATCGCGTCCCTAGCAGCCAGATCTATGTTAAGTGGAGCACCTCATTTTTGAGGAAAACCAGAACTCCTGTGGACCTGGGCAGAGGAAAAGACTCTTGCGGATAAAGGCCACATAGAACCATACAGCCTCAAACACGAAAAGACGCAATGGCTACCCTTGAACCGCACGGCAAAGCGATAGCCATCGATACGCTAATCAGTATAGCCGGCAACGGAGAGAACATGTGCGGGAAGGCAATCCGGACATGAACAAGAAACATCTATTGTTAAAGATGGAGAAAAGACCATCTCATGCAGATGAACCCCGCTGACGTAGCGGTTGCTGGGATGTTTCGAGCCACAGATTCACCTACGATTTTTGTGGTATGACAAAGGCAGCGACAAATAGATTAGCTGCGCGCCGTTTATAGTGTACATTGTTCGAGACAAGATCGCGGAAACCCACCAAGAAGATTTCCCATTGGCCTTAAACGCCATCCAAAGGGTGCACTACGTTGACGACTTCATCGATAGCATGAGGAACGAACATAAGTCCATCCAGATCACCAGACAAGTAATAGAAGTACATCACAGAGGCGGATTCGAGATCCGTATTTGGTCGTCGAATTCGGAAGAAGTACTTAAAAGCTTGCAGGATAATGGCAACGTTGGAAGCCAAAAGTTCGTGGATTTTTATTCAACAGAAAAGGACATACCCTGGGACCCACATAATGATATGTTCAAGTTTATCTTCAGATTTTCAAAGCTGACGCGTAAAGAGCTTGCGGAAAACGCAGTCCCTACCAAGCGAGAAGTACTACAAGTTCTGATGTCGATTCTCGATCCATTGGGATTTTTATCATGCCAGACGATTGGGCTAAAAATACACCTCCAGCACATATGGTGGCAAAATTTTGAATGGGATCAAGAGCTACCTGAAAGAATGCTAGAAGAATGGCGCCAATGGAAACCATTTTGCAAGAGGGACTATCGAGGTCCCTAGATGCTTTGCCCCAGCCACCTCGGAGCCAGGTCAAGTTGGACTCCACACATTTTTCGACGCCTGCGAGCAAGCGTATTCTGCAGTCTGCTACTTGCGTGGGGCAACGGATGACAAAGTCGTCATGTCGTTGGTTATACCGAAATCCAAGAGAGCACCTTCAAAACCACTATCGATTCCGCTTATAGAGCTGCAGGCAGCAGTTTTGGGAGCACGTTTAGACCACATGGTGATGAGCACACGCAACCTACGAATCGACAAAGCCACATACTGGTCGGACTCTAAGACAGTGTTGCAGTGGTTAACTATGGACCCCCGCAACTTTCATCAGTTCGTGATGTACAGAGTCGCCGAAATTCTGGAAACAACACTGGTCAAGCAATGGCGGTGGATTTCTTCAAAGCTGAACGTAGCAGATGGCGCTACCAAGGTCACCGGGCAAACCCAGCAAGAGACGTGGATAACGGGCCCGGAGTTCCTGAAGACCGATGCAAGCAACTGGCCAACATCCAAAAAGCAGGAGAGCATCATGGGTACTTCGTAGATACGGAAGCATGTGATGACGACGCATACGAGATCAGTGGTTACGTTTAACGCGCACGATTTCTCCAATTGGCGGCGATTATACGGTGAGTAGCGCTAGTACTCCTGTTCATTGATCGGCTGCAATCGAAATGGCTCATGTAAGCAAGGCAAAGATGCTGCTAAACAACCAATCTGAAGCCATCGCCTTCGCAGAAAAACTAAAATCGTTATCCGCGAGACCGGTGCTCCTCAAGGGAAGCAGATTGGCCGGATTAAACGAATACCTGGACAACAATGGAGTACTGCCAACCTCATAGTTAGAAGCTTCCACGAAAAGTATCA